AACGCTCCAATCGACAAAATAGTGAAAATCCGTGATCACTCACACATATATTTCCCACCAAAAATCGATTTTTATATGAAAAACCTAAAATCGACCGTAGATTTTCAAATAACGCTCCAATTAAGAAAATAATGAAAATCTGTGATCACTGATATTTCCCACCAAAAATCGATTTTTATATGAAAAACTTAAAATCGGCCGTAGATCCTTAAATAACGCTCCAATTAAGAAAGTAGTGAAAATCTGTTATCACTCATATTTCCCACCAAAAATATAATTGTATATGAAAAACCTAAAATCGTCCATAGATGCTTAAATAAAGCTCCAATTGAGAAAATAGTGAAAATCCGTTATCACTCATATATTTCCCACCAAATATCGATTTTTATATGAAAAACCTAAAATCGACCGTAGATTCTTAAATAACGCTCCAATTAAAAAAATAGTGAAAATCCGTGATCACTCATACTTCTCACCAAAACTCAATAGTTACATATATGAATAACATAAAATCGACCGTAGATTCCTTAATAACGCTTTAATTGAGAAAATAGTGAAAATCTGTGATCTGTGTATTTCCCACCAAAAATCGATTTTTATATGAAAAACTTTAAATCGGCCATAGATCCTTAAATAACGCTACAATTGAGAAAATAGTGAAAATATGTGATCACTCATATATCCCACCAAAAATCGATTTTTATATGAAAAACCTAAAATGGGCCATAGACCCTTAAATAACGCACCAATTAAGAAAGTAATGAAAATCTGTGATCACTCATATTTCCCACCAAAAATCGATTTTTATATGAACAACCTAAAATCGACCGTAGATTCTTAAATAACGCTCCAATTAAGAAAATAATGAAAATCTGTGATCACTCATATTTCCCACCAAAAATCGATTTTAGTAATCGTAGATTCTTAAATAACGGTCCAATTGAGAAAATAGTTAAAATCTCCCACCAAAAATAGATTTTTATATCAAAAACCTTAAAATGTAACATAACAGAAGTAGACTTTGTTAACATTAGCAACAGTGGTCAAGAAAAGTAACGTTTTTCCAGAGATTTTATCGTTGTGTATAAGAAAAATTACATATTTGTACAACTTACCTTTGTTATTAATGTTGCTTATTTACGTACAATATTAAATCATTATTATTTTCACTTTCACTTATTTCATTATTAACACTAAACACATTAATAGATATTTTCTTAAAAAGGCCATAGCTATTTTATATTTTTTTACTTTGCTTTTTTGCATTTTTTTAATAGCTTTTTTCTTATTTTACTTATTTCATTTTATTTTAATTATTTTACATTAACTAATTTACTTTTATTTCCTTTTCCTTTTTTAACATATTTTTTCTTAACATAAAAACACTTAATTTACATATTTCCTCTTATTAACACTCTCACTTTAGAAAAAAAAAAAAACATTTACTCTTAACACTTTTCCTACTAATTTTCTTAAAAAGGCCATATTTTGCATTACTTTTAATTTGCTTTTACATTTTTATTTTATTTACATTTTTTTTTTTTTTTTGCTATAAAAACATTTCTTTATTTCCCTTTCCTCTTTTTACAAAAACACTTTCTCTTTTTTTCAAACATAAACACACTTTCTCTTTTTTCTTCATTGACTCTCATAAATTTACTCGCTTATAAAATACTCTTAAACTTAATAGAGATCTACTAAAACAAAATTTACGAACCGACCGGCCAATGCAATTTGCAACAACAAGTAACGAAAAGAAGAATGACGAAAAAAACAACAACGACGAAAAGGCTCCACTAACTTTTGTTAGTACAAAGCCAAGAAATTTGCAATTTTTCAAACACAATTTTCTTTTTTACCCGAACTCGTTTCATTAAATAAACTTTTGAATATTATTTATTAATATTTATTTAACAATTTTTTAATAATTTTACTTAATTTTTTTAACTTTTAACTATATTTTTTATTAATTTTATTAAGCGTTTATCCCGAACACGTCTGTTGCAATTGCCGCTTTAACTAAAACTGAAGTAAAATATGTCATTTTTGTGTCAAATATGGAGCCAAAATTATACATGTATTAGTGAAACTTAAATTTTGTTGTTGTTTTCAGTGTTAAAAATTAAAGTAGAATATGAATAGAATGGACAAATGCAAAAATTGTTGTTATTGTAATAGAAAATTTTTAGAATATTTTTTTAAATTTTTTAAAATTTAATAGAAATGCATTTAGAACAAGTTTTAGGATTTGTTGTTGTTTAATATATGGAAACCACTAGTCACCGTGTACTCCTAATGGCTGCATGGTTGAGTAGTATGTGGCGACTGCCCAGATGGCTTTGGCTACCTCCAGGGTTTAGTTTAAGGCTAATGTAGTTGCCGGAACAAAGGTTATCAAGCCGGTAGATACATTTCTAGCTTAGTCTCTCCTTTCCATATCTAATAAGTCTTTTCCACTTGGTAGCATCTCCCCGGCTGGCAATGTAGCCATCTCGCAGTAGCCATTAAGTAGCAAAGCCCCACTATCCATGTGACTTTGGCTACCTCCAGGGTTTAGTTTTTAGTTGCCGGAAGATAAGTTATTAAGCCAGTAGGCACATTCTAACCTTAGACTCCTTTTTTCATACACATATATCAGTTTATTCACTTGTTAGCATCTTCCCGGCGTAGTTGCCGGAGCAGCAGCCATTACGCCGGTAGCTTTATATTAATCTTAAACACATTTATTAACTCTGAAGGACACTTATTTCCTTTTCAGAGTCGTCCCGACACATCTACTTGACGGGCGGCGGTTTCCTGCCACCACGGATGGTGTCGTTCCGAATGTCGATTAAACCAAGATCAATAAAATCATATGCATATACATATAGGTCCTGTCTAACATGTCTCCATGGAGCCTGCAACTATGTAACATCTTACATTGCTCATTTTCCATGTTTTTTCTGCGACAGAATCTTCCCGGCGTGCGATGTAGTTTGCCGGAGCTGCCGTCCCTAAGACGATATTTCAACATTGACTCTTCTTTGCATCCAAACTGACACATTTGTCCTACATTAACATCCTGACGTCTGCAAATCGCTGCAGGCAGTCTATGAGAACAATGTTAAGTGTTAGCCTGCCATCACGAAATGGAAGGTATCACAACTGTGCCCGCAACTTGGTCTGCAATTGGAGCTACATAGAATTGATAGTGTCTCTATGAGTGTCGTCCAAAACAGTAAACTATGAAATGCAATCAATTGGATTGAGTGCATGCGTCGATCATGTCTAAAATGCATCCGGGCAGACTGCCACTATTAACAAAACAAACATTAGGACGATACCACCCTCCTTTATCCCCAGACTCCTATTTCCGACCCGTTTAACTTGTAAAATAACATCAACCCCAAAAATGGTTAATATCAAAAGATGTTCATGGGGCAATATACGCATACATATTAACACGGCACCGAACAAGAAAGACAGATGGATAGTTAGTTAGTTAGATAGATAGATAGATAGATAGATAGATAGATAGATAGATAGATAGATAGATAGATAGAATAGATAGATAGATAGATAGATAGATAGATAGATAGATAGATAGATAGATAGATAGATAGATAGATAGATAGATAGATAGATAGATAGATAGATAGATAGATAGATAGATAGATAGATAGATAGATAGATAGATAGATAGATAGATAGATAGATAGATAGATAGATAGATAGATAGATAGATAGATAGATAGATAGATAGATAGATAGATAGATAGATAGATAGATAGATAGATAGATAGATAGATAGATAGATAGATAGATAGATAGATAGATAGATAGATAGATAGATAGATAGATAGATAGATAGATAGTAGATAGAGGTAGATAGATAGATAGATAGATAGATAGATAGATAGATAGATAGATAGATAGATAGATAGATAGATAGATAGATAGATAGATAGATAGATAGATAGATAGATAGATAGATAGATAGATAGATAGATAGAGATAGATAGATAGATAGATAGATAGATAGATAGATAGATAGATAGATAGATAGATAGATAGATAGATAGGTAGATAGATAGATAGATAGATAGATAGATAGATAGATAGATAGATAGATAGATAGATAGATAGATAGATAGATAGATAGATAGATAGATAGATAGATAGATAGATAGATAGATAGATAGATAGATAGATAGATAGATAGATACATAGATAGATAGATAGATAGGTAGATAGATAGATAGAGATAGATAGATAGATAGATAGATAGATAGATAGATAGATAGATAGATAGATAGATAGATAGATAGATAGATAGATAGATAGGTAGATAGATAGATAGATAGATAGATAGATAGATAGATAGATAGATAGATAGATAGATAGATAGATAGATAGATAGATAGATAGATAGATAGATAGATAGATAGATAGATAGATAGATAGATAGATAGATAGATAGATAGATAGATAGATAGATAGATAGATAGATAGATAGATAGATAGATAGATAGATAGATAGATAGATAGATAGATAGGTAGATAGATAGATAGATAGATAGATAGATAGATAGATAGATAGATAGATAGATAGATAGATAGATAGATAGATAGATAGATAGATAGATAGATAGATAGATAGATAGATAGATAGATAGATAGATATATAGATAGATAGATAGATAGATAGATAGATAGATAGATAGATAGATAGATAGATAGATAGATAGATAGATAGATAGATAGATAGATAGATAGATAGATAGATAGATAGATAGATAGATAGATAGATCGATAGATAGATAGATGTTGTTCTTATCTCCCAAAAATTCTTCTAAAATAATAATAAAAAATAAAAACATACATTTTCCACACATTTTGTTAAAATTTCACTCTTTAATTTATATTCGTTTTAAATTTTTCTTTTCTTCTTTTTGTTTTACTATAATAATAATTATTGATGATATTCACACATAGGTAGACATAAATATTTAGAAATCTATTTTTTTTTTTTTTTTGTTTATTTTATGAAAATAAATAAAGAACATATAGTGTTGTTATATATATAATTTGTTTATATCATGTTGCATTTAAACTTTCACTTAAATTACTCTTCAAGAAATGTGTTAAAAATTCTAAGTAAAATTGTGTTTTTTGAAATAAAAAAAATTGTAATAAAATCTTAGCTTAAAAGTGAAAGTGTATGTTATGGGGGGGAGGATGGAGTGGAGTGTTATTATATATTTTACATCTTAACTTAAAAATATAGACGACTTTGTTTAATATGCTGGCTTTTAGTTTGAGTTGAGTTTTTATAATGGAAAAAAGTACTTTTTAAGTATTTTTAAATATTATTATGTGTGTGGTACTAATGTACTTTTGAAAGGTACTAAGAAAAAAGGAAACAAATAAAAACTTGTGGACCTTTGAAAAAAGTTTTCGAAACAACACAAAGTGCGTAAAAGTACAACTTTTTTTTTAAATTAAATTAAAATAAACGCTATGTTAAATTAGGTTTAAATTTCGATGTACGTTTTATTGGTTTCTATAACCAATTACGGCCACCACGTCATATGTTGTTTTCTTTTTTGGCATCTTCACTTTTAGCAGGTTCTTCACTTTCTGTTGTATCCACTAAAATAGAGAAAGAAATTATGTTAATGATTTATTTTCTTTTGCAATTATTATTTGAAAAAAATTGCTCACTTTTTTCTTTATCATCTTGAGCTTCGGTATTGTCTGTTACTTTACCATCTTTTTCTAGGCGTGGCCTTTTCCTTTGACCCTTATAGGAACGTTGATCTCGTCGGCCGCCTTCTCCCTCATCTTCTGAATCGGAGAATTCATTATCGGGCACTATACGTTTATCTTTGTCGGCCTGTGTTATGCGTTCATCTTTGTCGGCCTTATCTTCATCATCGGTCTCATCATTGATGGCATCCTCTGGTATGGTTTGTATTTGAACACCGGGGGCATGAGGTAACATACGTAAGTTCTCAAATAGTCTAATAATTTGAAATAAAACAATTAATAACATGTTGATCATTTGCTTTTAACTTTTACTCACCTATTTCTGATTTTTTCCAAATATTCTGTGGTATTTTGATTTGTCATATTACTGGGACTGATGTGTAGTTTAAAATCGGGTCCAAAATATTCGAAATAATCATTATAGGGCAGTTCATTGGCAATTTCTACACCCAAAGCCACTGATGTCTCATAAGTCCAGCAACGTGATACATTGCGTATGGTATAACCCCCACCACCCACCATTAGGAAGGGTAAATTATATTTCTTAACAAAATCCACACAGCGACCATGACCCTTAACGGTCAAATTGAAACAACCCAAACGATCTCCAGTTAAGGAATCAGCACCACATTGTAAAACCACCGCAGCTGGTTGGAAAGTTTCCATTACTTTGGATATAATAGGTTGGAAGATGGACTCATAGGCTTCATCATCCATGCCATCACGTAAAGGTATATTGACAGCATAATATTTGCCCTTTCCCGCCCCAATATCACGTAAATCTCCTGTGCCGGGGAAATATTCACCATATTTATGGAAACTAACAGTCATTACACGATCTGTTGTATAGAAAGCCTCCTCCACACCATCACCATGATGTACATCAATATCAATATACAAAACACGCTGATGATACTTCAGCAATTCCAATATGCCCAAAACAATATCGTTAACATAACAAAAACCAGAAGCTTCTGATTTTTTAGCATGATGTAAACCACCACCCCAGTTAATACAAATCTCTGAGGCCTGTTTATTAAGTTTAACAGCTGCCGCTACTGAACCACCGGCGGATAGTTGACAGAACTCATAGAGACCATCGAAGACGGGACAATCTTCACCTACATTAAATCTTTGCATTTGTTTATTGTATTCTGTCATGTTGTCGGGGCGTATGGAACGTAAGAAACGTACATATTCATCTGAGTGGAATTTGGTCATTTCATCGGCCGTGGCTTTATGGGGACGCTAGAAAAATGATAAAAAGGAAATGGTTATAAAACAAGTTTAAATTTAGGCTTAAATCTGTAAACACTAGACTAGACTAGTGTTTTAACCTAAAGCTTGAAATAGCTAATTAATCATGTATAGTACCAAGTTAAACCCTTTTAAAAATGGGTTATAGCATTCATATTACAAACACATACATAATTTGCCCCATAAACATCTTTTACTACAACCCCCTTTTAGAGTTAATGCTATTTTAACTATACATAGATCCATGCTCATTAGTAGCATGTTAAACGTGTCGGAAATAAGAGTCCGGGGAGGATAGGAGGGTGGTATTGTCTTACTATCAATTGTATTTAGCTCCAATAGCAGCCTCCGGAAGGTCTCTGCTAAAGAAAAAAAGAATTTGGTGGTAGAGTAACACTTTGCTATGTTCTCATAGACCGCCTGCAACTATATGCAGATGCCGGAATATTAATGTAGCCAAAATGTGTCAGTTTGGATGCATAGGAGTCTACAAGTCAATGTTGACATCTCAACATTCTTAAGGATTGCAACTCCGGTAAACTATATTGCTCACCGGGAAAATTCTGTCGCAGAAAAAACTTGAAAAAATGAGTAATGTAAGAGTGCTGTTGATGTTACACATTTGTAGGCTACCAGGAGACATGTTAGACAGGCCCTACATATGCACATGATTCTATTGATGTCAGTTTATTCTTTAAAACACATTCGGAATGACACCATCTATATGGCGGTGATAAACCGCCGATCTTCAAATACATTTGCCGGAACGATTCTGAAAAGGAAATAAGTACCCTTTAAAGTTAATAAATGTGTTTAAGATTAACAAGAAGCTACCGGCTAATGGCGACAGCTCCGGAAACTACAATACCCGCTTATCAGCTTAAAAGCTTGTGTTCCGGCAACTACATTAGCTAGTAAGGCTAACTAAACTAAACCCTGGAAGTAGTCAAAGCCACATGAACAGTGTGACATTATAGCCAGGGTTTAGTAGCCTTACTAAACTAAACTGTGGAGGTAAACACAGCCACATGGACAGTGTGGCTTTGTAGCCATTAAGCTACCGGCTTAGTGGCAGCTCCGTCAACTAAATTGCCCGCAGGGGAGACGCTACCAAGTGGAAAAGACTTATCATATATGGAAAAAGGAGTCTAAGTTTGGAATGTAACTACCGGCTTAATAACCTTTGTTCCGACAACTATATTGCCCTTACTAAACGAAACCCTAGAGGTAGCCAAAGCCACCTGGGCAATCGCCACATATTACTGAACTGAGCAGCCATTAAGAGTTTATAGTGCCTAGTTGTTTCCATATATTAAACTACAACAAATCCTAAAATTTATTCTAAATGCATTTCTACTAAATTTTAAAGAAATTAAAAAAAAAATCATAAAATTTTCTTTTACAATAACAAACATTTTTTTCATTTGTCCATTCTATTCATATTCTACTTTAATTTTTAACACTGAAAACAACAACAAAATTTAAGTTTCACTAATACATGTATAATTTTGGCTCCAAATTTGACACAAAAATGACATATTCTACTTTAGTTTTAGTTAAAGCGGCAATTGCAACAGACGTGTTCTTGTTAAACGTTTAATAAAATTAATAAAAAATCTAGTTAAAAGTTAAAAAAATAAAGTAAAATTATTAAAAAAATGTTAAATAAACATTAATAAACAATATTTAAAAGTTCATTTAATGAAACGAGTTCGGTTAAAAAAGAAAATTGTGTTTAAAAAATTGCAAATTTCTTGGCTTTGTACTAACAAATATTAGTGGAGCCTTTTCGTCGTTGTTGTTGTTTTTTTCGTTATTCTTCTTTTCGTTACTTGTTGTTGCAAATTGCATTGGCCGGTCGGTTCGTAAATTTTGTTTTATTAGATCTCTATTAAGTTTAAGAGTATTTTATAAGTGAGTAAATGTATAAGAGGCAATAAAGAAAAAAGAGCAAGTGTGTTTGTGTTTGAAAAAAAGAGAAAGTGTTTTTGTAAAAAGAGGAAAGGGAAATAAAGAAATTTTATTATAGCAAAAAAATGTAAATAAAATAAAAATGTAAAAGCAAAATTAAAAGAAATGCAAAATATGGCCTTTTTAAGAAAATAAGTATGAAAAGTGTTAAGTGTAAATGTTATTAGATCTGGTTGTTTGTTTTTTTTTAGGTGAGAGTGGTAAAGAGAGGAAATATGAAAATGAAAAAGTGTTTATGTTAAGAAAAAATATGTTAAAAATAGGAAAGGGAAATAAAAATATCTCTGTTAATGTAAAAAATTAAAATAAAATGAAAAAAGTAAAATAAGAAAAAAGCTATTAAAAAATGCAAATAAGCAAAGTAAAAAAATAGAAAATATCTATTAATGTGTTTAGTGTTAATAATGAAATAAGTGAAAGTGAAAATAATAATGATTTAATATTGTACGTAAATAAGCAACATTAATAACAAAGGTAAGTTGTACAAATATGTAATTTTTCTTCTATACTTCTGGAAAAAACCGTTACTTTTTCTTAACCACTGTTGCTAATGTTAAAAAAGTCTACTTCTGTTATGTTACATTTTAAGGTTTTTGATATAAAAATCTATTTTTGGTGGGAGATTTTAACTATTTTATCAATTGGAGCGGTATTTAAGAATCTACGGTCGATTTTAGGTTTTTCATATAAAAATCGATTTTTGGTGGGAAATATGAGTGATGACAGATTTTCATTATTTTCTTAATTGGAGCGTTATTTAAGGATCTATGGACGATTTTAAGTTTTTCATATTAAAATCGATTTTTGGTGGGAAATATGAGTGATCACAGATTTTCATTATTTTCTTAATTGGAGCGTTATTTAAGGATCTATGGACGATTTTAAGTCTTTCATATAAAATTCGATTTTTGGTTTGAAATATGAGTGATCACAGGTTTTAACTATTTTCTAAATTGAAGCGTTATCTAAGCATCTATGGCCAATTTTAGGTTTTTCATATAAAATTCGATTTTTGGTGGGAAATATGAGTGATCACTATTTCACTATTTCTCAATTGGAGCGTTATTTAAGGATTTGGGACCGATGTTAAGTTTCTCATATAAAAAAAGATTTTTGGTGGGAAATATGACTGATCACAGATTTTCACTTTTTTTCTCAATTGGAGCGTTATTTAAGAATCTATTGTCGATTTTAAGTTTTTCATAAAAAAATCGATTTTTGGTGGGATATATGAGTGATCACAGATTTTCATTTTTTTCCTCAATTAGAGCGTTATTTAAGGATTTATGGCAGATTTTAGGTTTCTCATATAAAAATCGATTTTTGGTGGGAAATATGAGTGATCACAGATTTTCACTATTTACTCAATTAATCGTTTTTTAAGGTTCTATAGCACATTTTAGGTTTTTCATATAAAAATCAATTTTTGGTGGAAAATATGAGTGATCATAAGTATTCACTATTTACTCAATTGGAGCGTTATTTAAGAATCTACGGCCGATTTCAGGTTCTTCATATAAAAATCGTATTGTTGGAAACCTAAGCAACTTTTATTTTAGCATTGTATACAATCAGTTAAGCAAGATAATAAACTAAAACCTGTGGCAAAGTTGATCTAAATCAAAATCTCCTAACTCAAATCCCTTAGAGATGCCGTTCGGTGTTTTATAGCGCAGTTTCGGAACCCGCCATTTTAAAAAACATAGCAGCTGGTAAACGGCATAAAATCTGGATGGGAATCATTACCAACTACACTACTAACTAATCTATATATATAAAAGAGTAGTGTTACTGACTGATTCATCATCGCACAGTCCAAACGGCTGAACCTACAATCATGAAATTTTGACAATAGATGTGTTTTTGGTTATGTAGATCCACTAAGAAAAATTTTAAATGCACCTGTATCTACTCTTAAAATAGGCAAATGGGTGTCAGGTACTTTTTTGAAATTCGTACTTTTAAGGGGTGAAAATATGTATGTAACAAAGGTGATTTTGGTACCTTTTTTTGGCCCTTTATAACTTTTTAACTAATAAACAAAATAAAATTTTTGTAAATATTTTGAATATATGTATCTCCCAAAATTAGGAGACACCTGTTTCGTACTTTTTTTAAATTCAGTCCTTTTTGGGTGTAAAAAGGATAAAACTGTACTTTTGGTAGTTTTTTTTAGCTAATGTGAAAACTTTTTCGATTTATTGAATATTCCTATTAAATTTACTGACTAAATCTGTAATATTAGTTGAAGCTATTCATTTTTGCTATTTCACTGTGGAAAAAAGTACTAAAATGGGATAAAACGGGAAATTTTATTATATTAAAACTCATTGAGCCAATTTTTATAAAATTTGAAAAAGTATTATTTTTTTACTCACACAAAATAAGCTATTGTTATATTATTTTGGAATTCGATAACTAAGGCCTATATAGGACCAAATTCGATTAAATTGTTTGGTACTTTTTGAAAGCATATTTTTTCTGGAACAAATGAATGCAGATTTGAATCGTTTGAGTTATATCTATGATATATAGATTAAAATACGGAAGATTTTGTAAACTTAATTCTCAAAAAAGTCTATTTCGAAGCGAAAAGGGGAAAAATTGTACTATTTTTGTTAGTACTTTCCACTAAGGTAGAATTCATTCGACTTTTGGTACTTTTTCTTTCTTCAAATGATACTCTTTGTATGTTCTTTAATATTGAATTCAAAACACATGATTATTAAACATATACGGATTCTTTAAGAGAGAACTTTTTAGTCCTTTTAACTCATAAATGGTACTTTTTGAATTTTCTAAAATATTCAACCGGAACACATGACACACGGTCCTTATTAAATGAGAATTTATTGCGAAAGATTTTTTTGTACTTTTTCGTTTTTCCGTTGGTACTTTTTGATATTTTTACGATATCGAACATAGAAATATGAAATTTAAAATATTGGGACCTTAGTGAATAAGAATCTAATGAAAGGGACATTTGGTACTTTTTTATTCATTCATTCAAATTATATTTTTTGAATTGTATATGGGCATTTCCACCGAAAAGTCTACTTTTGTCACATCACGTCACGCACCATTAACTGCCTACATCTAGGGAAAATATTTATATATATTTAAATTATTTATATTTTTATGTAGAGCTCTAATAGCTTTATACATAGGAAAAAGTAAGGGCCAATCAAAAGGAATGGTCTTAAGATATTGTCAATTAATGTGCGTGACGTGATGTGACAAAAAATATACTTTTCGTGGAAATGCCCATATACTTAATATTGAACACAGAGACATACAATTTTTGATTAAATGAGAATTTATAAGAGGTATTTTATAGTACTTTTTTTCAATTTTGGTTAGGGTAGCGAAGCTCCCAGGGTATGCTAGTCTATTCCATATGGCTGTTTGGAGCTTATAAAAAAAAAAGTTTTTCATACAAAAAGCAAAAAGTTGATTAAGTTTCAAACATCTATTTATGGAGTTAACTCAGTTAATGTTGTCTTGTTACTCAGAGCTAAATGGAATTAATCTTTTGTTGTTGTTATTATAATGTAGACACATAATATAACACAAATCAAGTATGTTATTTTGAATAGATCAATTAAAATAGAAATTATAGGACTTTGTATACAATATCAAAATAAGTTGCTTAGGTTTCGAACAATACTTTAAATATGTTATTAGCAACGAAATCCTAGCCTCAATTACCTAAAAACTTTATAATTTGATTATACTTACATAAATTTCCATTTTTCTATAGAGACCATAATTTAGCAAAAGATTATGGGTCATACGTATGCGATGAGGTTTCATGGGATGACCCTGACCATAATAATAATTGCCAATATCACCTAAAAACAATAAAAACATATATTAATATTACTGATTAATAATTAATAAAAACAATAATTATAGAAATATTTTGGAAAATATAAATTATTCATTAAGAAATTCTAAAACGAAAAACAAATAAACACACAATTTTCATTTTTATTAATTTAAAACGAGTGTCTCTTAAGCGTCATACTTGAAAAAATAGCCACAAGACACTTTTTACTACAACAGCAAACGTCCAGACATTAATATTATCAAACACGAAGACAACAACAACACCAACAATATAAAAATAACAACATTGTTGTTGTTATAATTCTTCTCAACATGTACGTTGAAGTATGAAACACAACAAAAAGAGCACACGTCTTAATACGGTCGTTCCACCGCATACACAAAAAGTGTGCTGTAAAACAAAAGCCGCTGGTACAGTCGAAATAAATGAAAAAATTTTAACCGAAAAAAAACATGGAATTTTTCCATTTTATATTTCTTCTTAAAAATTTTACGTTTTTACACAGTTTTTAAAAATATCTTTATAAATTTTTGTTAATTTCTTTATTTATTTAATAAATTTATAAAAAAAAATAAACATTTACTTACTGTCATAATAGTAACAAACTCTTTTCTTGGTAGCCGACTGCATTTTGTTTGTTGTCTACGAAAAAAAAACTTTTGTTTTCTTTTCTATTAATAACTTTTCTTATTTATTATTATTTTATTATTGTTTTTAATTAATAATTAAAACACCCAAATTATTTCACGTTTTTCCCAAAGATTTATTTCAAGTGCTTAAGAAAAGCGCGTCTTTACTGGGCGAATTATGTTTAGAAATATTTAATTTTTTTCGTTTTTGACTTTATACGAATGGCGATATGAAAAGAGAATAGCCAATTAATCATATACAAAGTGAAGTTGGCTGCAGTTGTTGTAACATACGTTTAGAACAGGGTTGTATTTTTGTAATTGGAAAAAGTTGGAAATAGTTGGCAGTATACAGATAATAACACTGTGTGACAGCTAAAAACAAAAACACAAAAATATTGGTGTGTTTATGTTTTTTAGCTGTACTAGTGTTCTATAAATTGACTTTCGAATAATCGAACAATCGACTTTTTGTCGAAAAAAGTCGAAGTCGACTATTTTGTTCCAAAAAAGTCGATAACTCGACTATCGTCTGTGAAAAGAGTCGAAAAGTCGACTTTGTTAATAAAAGTCGAAAAAAGTCGAAAAGTCGGAAAGTCGAATAAAGTCGAAAAAAGTCGAAGAAAGTCGAAAAAAAGTCGAAAAGTCGTAAAAAGTCGAAAAAAGTCGGAAAAAGTCGAAAACTCGAAAATTGTAGAAAAAAGTCAAAAATAAGTCGGAAAAAGTCCAAAGGTCGAAAAGTCGAAAAGTCGGAAAGAGTCGAAAAAAGTCGAAAAGTCGACTATTTATAAAATACTTATAGTCGAAAAGTCTAAAAGTCGACTTTTAATTAAATGAAAAAAGTCGAAAAATCGACTTTTCATAAAATGCAAAAAGTCGACTTTTTTGACACATACTTTTCTCTTGGCTCAAGGACGAAGCACATAGAATATGGTTGAAAATTTTCAAGATATTTTTTTAATATTTGACACATACTTTTCTCTTGGCTCAAGGACGAAGCACATTGAATATGGTTGAAAAACGGTCGATTTTTTCACCTAGCCCCCATACAACCGTACGTCCGAATAGTTCTATTGAGCTCAAAATTATGTTAAATGTTCTAGCATCTCTACAAAAATCGGCACAACTTAGTTTTTCATTATAATCGGGCCTCATCTGACCCTAGCCGCCAAAAAATAATCTATTTATATGAAATTAACATTAAAGTGCTGAAATTTGGACAGGAGATTGGTCTCCCAACAAAAAGATCCACTTGGAAATTCGAACGTTTAGGATGTAAAATGGGTAAATTCGTCAACCTCATATCTCCTAAGCTAAGAAAGATACACAAACAGTTTAAAGCTTATCGTGGTTCATTTAAAAATAAGTGTAAAGTTTTCCAGTACTTTTTCTTTCAAATTCGTCCCCTTTAGGATAGAAACGGGTAAAAACTGTATTTTGGTACTTTTTTTGCACGAGTAAACATTCAAAAAATATGTTTGACTCCTTAAACGAAAAAATAAAATTTACTTTTTGGATATTCGGACGTTTAAGGGATGAAAATTATAACTATTTTTGGTACTTTTCGCATTAAACATTGTCTCCTATGTAAGTATTGACTTGTACATACATACATACATATGTATGAGTGAATACTTAATGATGGGCTTCCACTACGATATTATTTTTTAAATAAAATGTTTATTACTTAATAGGAAAAAAAAAAGTACCAAAAGGGGGAAAAACGGCGTATTTGATTTCATTCAAAACTCATTGATTTAGTAACATTAAATATGACAATGGGAAAAAAGTACCAAATGGGGGAAAAACGGGGAATTTGATTTCATTCAAACTAATTGATTTAGTAACACTAAATATTCCAATGGGATGCTAATTATAACTCCGGTACAAAGGACTTTTTTTGGTACTTTTTCGTTTTTTAACTGGTACTTTTTCAGTTTTTTTATAATATCGATCCTAGAAACATGAAATTAAGCATGTGGAACACGGAGTTAATGAGAATCTATAAAAGGGGATTTTTTTTTGCACTTCAAATGGTACTTCTTGAGATTTCTAAAATATTGAATCTATAAACATAAAATGAAACACGTAATATTCTGATTTATAAAAGGAGACTTTTTAGTACTTTTTCGTTCCTTTAGTAATACTTTTTTGATTTCTCTATAATATTGAACCTAAAAACATAAAATTGATCACGCAGCTTCCAGATTGTATAAAAATCTGTATGGGAGGAATTTCTGGTTGAAAATATACATAAAAAGGGGACTTTCTGTTACTTTTTCGTTCTCCAACAGCTATTTTTGGAATTTTCTGTAATATTGGGACTAGAATCATAAAATCAAAGATGGGGACTTTCATAGATTTTCAATATTGAACCTAGGAACATGTATGATAATCTATAAAATGGGACTTTTTGATATTGCAGATATATATACATAAACGTATATTGGACAGAAATTGTTTGATTCTGGAAGGGTTAAAAAAAGACCTAGACGAATTTCTATGGATAAGAAAAAGAATTCGCTGAAGTAAAATTATAACTATTTTTGGTACTTTTCGCATTAAACATTGTCTCCTATGTAAGTATTGACTTGTACATACATACATACATACATATGTATGAGTGAATACTTAATGATGGGCTTCCACTACGATATTATTTTTTAAATAAAATGTTTATTACTTTAATAGGAAGAAAAAAAAGTACCAAAAGGGGGAAAAACGGCGTATTTGATTTCATTCAAAACTCATTGATTTAGTAACATTAAATATGACAATGGGAAAAAAGTACCAAATGGGGGAAAAAACGGGGAATTTGATTTCATTCAAACTAATTGATTTAGTAACACTAAATATTCCAATGGGATGCTAATTATAACTCCGGTACAAAGGACTTTTTTTGGTACTTTTTCGTTTTTTAACTGGTACTTTTTCAGTTTTTTTATAATATCGATCCTAGAAACATGAAATTAAGCATGTGGAACACGGAGTTAATGAGAATCTATAAAAGGGGATTTTTTTTTGCACTTCAAATGGTACTTCTTGAGATTTCTAAAATATTGAATCTATAAACATAAAATGAAACACGTAATATTCTGATTTATAAAAGGAGACTTTTTAGTACTTTTTCGTTCCTTTAGTAATACTTTTTTGATTTCTCTATAATATTGAACCTAAAAACATAAAATTGATCACGCAGCTTCCAGATTGTATAAAAATCTGTATGGGAGGAATTTCTGGTTGAAAATATACATAAAAAGGGGACTTTCTGTTACTTTTTCGTTCTCCAACAGCTATTTTTGGAATTTTCTGTAATATTGGGACTAGAATCATAAAATCAAAGATGGGGACTTTCATAGATTTTCAATATTGAACCTAGGAACATGTATGATAATCTATAAAATGGGACTTTTTGATATTGCAGATATATATACATAAACGTATATTGGACAGAAATTGTTTGATTCTGGAAGGGTTAAAAAAAGACCTAGACGAATTTCTATGGATAAGAAAAAGAATTCGCTGAAGTACTCTAGCACTGTGAATGTAGCTTTGAAGTCTAATTATTTCGATGTAGTGTAAAAGGGTATTAGACAGGTGTGGCAAAATTGGTACAATTGTACTTTTTTGGTGCAATTCGATGTGCAAAAGTGCAATGGCACCATTTTGTAAAATTTTAAATTTAGTAAAAAATAATGTAAAATTGTATTTCTGTCACAAAGTTAAAAAGACTACCGATGGTAAACTTTTCACTAAGCTTTAGAAGAGGATAAATACAATTCTTTTTCATATTCTCTGCTATTATTAAGAAACCTGGAAAATATTACAACCAGACAATCTGTAAAACTTTAACCAAAGAGAGTAAATTTTTAGGAATACTTTTATATACTTTAAGTGCAATTTTGAATAGGCTTTTAAAGTACCTTCTACTAGAGTTTGTACTAGTCTTATGACTTCTCTAAGATGAATTAGTCTTTGGACTAGTATACGGTTTATTCTATATCTACCACTCTAACGTATAATCTATAGACTAATCTATTGTCTAGTCTACTATTATATAATCCATAGAGAGACAAAAGACTGTCTAGTATGTTTACTAGTCTAGTTTACTGACAGGTTTACTGACAGACTAATGAAACCGATTTGAGATACTTTTATATACTTTAAGTGCAATTTTGAATAGACTTTTAAAGTACCTTCTACTACAGTTTGTACTAGTCTTATGACTTCACTATGGTCTAGACATGAAATAGTCTTTGGACTAGTATACGGATTATATGGAAATATTCTTTGGACTAGTATACGGATTATTCTATATACACCACTCTAACGTCTAAACTATAGACTACTCTATTGCCTAGTCTACAGACTGGTGTATTCTATAATCCATAAAGAGACAATCGACTGTCTTAGTATGTTTACTAGTCTAGTTTACTGACGGATTTACAGACCAATGAAGCCGATTTGAGAGAGTTTTGCTTTATATTGATATAAATTTACAAAATCAAATTATTTGGTACAATCGGAATCAAAAAAGTACAATGTTTAATACTAATTTGAACAATTTCAAAATGTCATTGCCATCCCTGATATGTATTTAAAACTGAGGTTTTTTTTACAACAATTGCATATGTATTTTAGGGTTCTATAGTTGAAACGAAAAGTCGACTTTTCGACTTTTTTCATTTAGTTAAAAGTCGACTTTTCGACTTTTTGCATTTTATGAAAAGTGGATTTTTCGACTTTCATTTAATTAAAAGTCGACTTTTCGACTATAAGTATTTCGACTTTTTTTGACTTTGTCCGAATTTTTTCTACTTTTCGACTTTTTGACTATTTTCGACTTCTTTCGACTTCTTTCGACTTTTTTTCGACTATTTTTTGACTTTTTTCGAGTTTTTTCCGACTATTTTAGAGTTTTTGACTTTTTTCTACAATTTTCGAATTTTCGACTTTTTCCGACTTTTCGACTTTTTCCGACTTTTTCTGACTTTTTCCGACTTTTCGACTTTTACGACTTTTTACGACTTTTTACGACTTTTCGACTTTTTTCGACTTTTCTTCGACTTTTTTTCGACTTTATTCGACTTTTTGGAACAAAATAGTCGACTTCGACTTTTTTTCGACAAAAATTCGATTGTTCGATTATTCGAAAGTCGATTTATAGAACCCTATTGCATATGTATTTTGTAGATTAATAATTTAAGCGATTTCTCATTATTCTGCTTGATAAAAAATCCAGTCTGGCAGCTTTCTTAAACTTTCAACAAAAGAGAGAGAGAAAGAGAGTGAAAAAAACAATTGTTTACTTTATTTCGCCGCTAATAAACGAATAAGAAAAACAAAAAGGAATATAAATAAAAACACAAAATGGCCGGTGTAAAGAAAAGGCGAAAAACTTACACACAGAGTCGGAAAAATAAGTATTTAATGAGATTTATGAATTAAAAGTAACTCTTGAAAGAAACCCAACATTTTAAAAGAAATATTAAATAATTATTTTAATATTTCTTATAAAAACTAATAAAAATGGCAATATTTTAACAAATTTATAGAAATTTTCCTACACAGTTGTTTATTTGGGTACGAGTATTAAAATTACAAAAGCAGAGTTGCTTATTGCTGTAAGGTTTTGCGGCGATTTTGTTTCCTTTCGTCGTTCAGTCTGGTTGGTGCGGTTCGTGTGTGAAGAATTTTTTTCCTCTTGTTCTTAAAGAAAAAGATTTTTATATAGACGGTAGTTAATTAAAAAAAAAAAGTTAATCTATATATAGAGAAATTACAGAAAAAAATCTAACTGTTAATTAATATTAATTAAATAAATTGAAGAAAGAAAAAAAAAGAAAACATTAAAAGTTTCTTTAAAAAAAAAATAAAAAGTATTAAGCAGAGTGCGTGTGTGTGTGTGTAAAAAAAAAGTAAGTGTTCAAAGAATGGTTTATAAAAGCAAGAAGCAGAAAATAAATAGTTAATAAATTATAATAAAAAGTAGTTAATAAAACATGTGAAAAAATAATAATTGAAGAGAAATTAATACTTTAAAAATAAGAAACCTGAAAAAATTAATAAAAGAAAATTTAATAGAAAACTTGCAAAAAAAAATTATAAGTTAAAAAATTAAAGAAACATAATTTGTTTAATAAATTTTTATGAAACAAAAATCTACTATTTAATTTAAAAAAAAGAGATAAAGTGTTTGTGTGTATGTTTGTGCAAGAGAGTTTTTAATGTGTGTAGGAAGGTGGAGACCCCGATTTGAGTTTAATTAATAAAACTTTTTTTATGTTTTTTCTTTAATTAATTTTCAATGTCTGCTGGTTTTTTTTTATTTATTAAAGTTCTTTAATCCTTTAATTTTTCATTTAGTTTATTTTGTAGTTCAGTTTTTTCTTCTTGTTTAATTTTCTTATTTTCTTTGTCCTCTTGTTGACTTTTCTTCTTTTTTTATTTCTTTGATTATCTTTTGTATGTTGTTTTTTCTGTATTTAGTTTGTCTGTTATGCTGCTGCTGCTGCTAGTTGTTGTTGTTTTTATGTTATTCCTGTTCAGGGATGGAAAATTCAATACTATTGTTCTCTTTCCAGTACATACTATTTGGAAAACGATAAATATCAAAACGATATATCGAAATATTGATCGTAGATCCTCAAAGTTTATATAGCCAGCTTCCCCATTCTAAGGGGATCTAGTCCTGTCCGTACGCCTGTATGTTAAAAGCTTGATAGTGCATAAACGGATTGAGCTAAAAGTCTGATCTATTTTTCATAAATATTGCTTGTTTGTATGTAAGGTCTCTGGTCATTAGACTATTGGAAAAACTTGTCAATAGATTAGTCCAGAGACTAGCAAACGGACTAGTCAATTGATTAGTCCAGAGTATCAGTATTGCATAAGGTAGTCAAAAGAACTTAGAGAAGTCAAAATACTAGTCCATAGATAAGATATTATACTAGTTGAGATACTGCTTAGTAGAATATTCAATAGACTAATCGGTATACTAGTTCATAAACTAATTCATAGACCATTCTTCATAGACTAGTCAATAGATGAGTGTATAGACTAAGCAATAGATCATTCAATATATCATTCAATAGTCTATATCATAGGCTTGTCAAAAAACCATGGACTACTTAGATCTATTATATAGACTAGTTAATAGATAAGTCCAGAGACAAACTGACTAGTCATAATCTAGTCAAAAGTCCAAAGAGTAGTCAAAATACCAGTCCATAGACAAGATATTAAACTAGTTCAGATACTACTCAATAGGTCATTCAATATACTTATCGGCAAACTAGTTCATAGTATAGACTTGTATTTTCCATAGACTAGTCCATAGTATAGACTATTCAATTGTATTTTCCACAGACTAGTCAATAGACCTTTGTGTAGGCTAATCAATAGACTAATCAATATATTATAACATAGGTTTGTCAATAGATCATAGTTTACTCAAAACTCAAGTCCAACAGTAGCCGATGAAGTTGTCCATATTCTAGTCATTAGACTATTTCATAGACTAGTCAATAGATTCCTCCATATACTAATCAATAGGGAAGTCCCTAGACTATTCAATATATCATTCAATAGAGTTTGGCATAGGCTAGTCAATAGTCCTTGGATTACTCAAAGACTAGTTAATATACTAGTCAATATTAGTCCAGTAGCTGATAGTCTTATACTTTATTTAGTCAGTAGACTATCAATAGAGTAGTTCATAGATTACTTCATAAATTCTTTCATAGATTAGTCCATAGAATAGTCTAGTCCATAGATTAGTAGATCATTCAATAAACTAATCACTATACTAGTTCATAAACTATTTCATAGACTATTCAATAGTCTTTTCCATAGACGAGTCAATAGACGATTGTATAGACTAATCAATAGACTATACCATAGGCTTCTCAATACTACATAGACTACCCAAAAGACTAGTCCATATAGCATTCAATAAATTTATTCATATTCCATACATTATACTATTTCATAGACAAGTTAAGAGTTTCCTTCATATACTAATCAATAGACAAGTCCCTAGACAAGTCATTAGTCCATAGATTACTCAAAAGACTAGTCCATATAGTAGCCAAAGAAGTTATTCATATTCTACACAGTGGACAATTTCGTAGACTAGTCCATAGTTTCATCCAAATTCACAAGTACCTAAACAAGCCAATAGATCATTCTATAGAGTTTGGCATAGGCTAGTTAATAGTCCTTGGATTACGCAAAGACTAGTTCATATACTAGTCTATAGTAGTCCAGTATCTGGTAGTCTTTTACATTGTAGTAGTAGATTGTAGAGTAGTTCATATATATCTTAATAAACCCTTTCATAGATTAGTCCATAGAATAGAAAATTTACTAATCCACTACTAGTCAATAAGCACAAAAATCTAGTCCTTAAATTACCTAATAAACTATTCTATAGGTGAGTTATTGGAATAAAAGTTAAATTTTCCATTCCTGTTCCTGAATTTCTTTTTTTTTACACTTTACATTCTCTGTTTTCCTTATTTATTATATTCCTATCCATAAACCAGGCGAAATATTACACATGTTACGTTGTGTGTGTTGAATTAGCAACATAGTTTTTCGTTTTATGCTGCTTCTCTTTCTTCTTTTTCCTGCTGTTGTTGCTATTTTTTATATGACCACTTTGACGTTTTCGTTCGTTAACATTACTGGCTATCAATGTTTGTTGTTGTTGTTGTTGTTGCGGTGCTCCTTTTTTGTCTGTTCAGTTGTATAAAATTTTATTTTCGTTGAGTTTTTATGTCCACTTTTTTTTTGCGTGTCGTCATCATTTGCCACCTTAAAAACCACCACCTCCATCATCATTATTAACATTCTTAACGTCATTATGTCGAACAACAACAAACCTAATCATTTAAACTTACCGTTATTTTAACACACCAAAAAAATTTCTTTCCTTGTTTTCATTTATTTATGTATTTTTTTTCTTTGGTGTCTACACCTCGCCCACTATGTATGTTTATTTCTATTATGCTGACTTTATTGTTGTTGTTGTTAATTTTCTTACCCACATACTTTTTTTTTAACACAAACTCTCCTTCTCTTTCTATCACTCTCTCTCTCTTCGTTTTAATACACTCATAAATATTGTAATGTAACGGTTATGTTCACCTTCTCCCACCCAAAAATTGAGTTTGTTATTATTATTATTGTTTTTTGTGGTACAACAACAACATCAAACTACCTTCATATTCTTGAATGTATGCATATTTATACACGGAGATTTTACTTTTCTCAATTTTTTCTATTTTTACCGGTGTATCTTTAACTTTGTTTAGTTTTATTAGGATTTTCTTTGTCCTTTATCAAATACATATTTTTCACAAACATTTATCTCTTTGTATTTGTTACAATTTGTTTATTAAATTAATACTAATTATATGCTAATTTTTGTGTTCTGTTACAGATACAGTTTTTTTGAAAAGATTTTAACAATATTGACTAAAAACTTTTTTATAGAAAAAAAGGAAAAAAGTGTTCAATTAATAAAAAAACAATATTTTCTATTACTAAAATATAAACAAAAATAGGAACAAAGTAAATTTAATTAAATAAATGGATTAACATTTTTGAAAATAAAAACTGCAAGGTATGTAAAGTAAATAAATTTGTCAATTTTTTTTAAAAGAAAATTAATGTTTAATAGAAGTAAAAATGTTTAGTTGGGCAGAAAATCGTTTTATAGCCCTTAAGGACATTATGTTATCAGAGACTTTTTTAACCCTCAAGTTTCATTGTTAGATGTAACAAAAACAATAATAAACTTTTTAGTTTCATTAAACTGTTTACAACATTTGAAAGTTTGTAATATTATAAAATATTTAAAAATTTCACTAAATTTTTATGTTTTAAATATGTTTTCTATAATATTATTTTTTTTATTACTTTTTGTTTAACTCTTTAATTTATCATAATCTCATACACAGGCAACAGCTCGAATCTATTCATATTTATTTCATTCAACAAATTGTTGTTGTACTAATAAAATCTATGAAAATGTAATAAAAAATATATATACACACAGACAATAACAATAATAAAAAAGTAGAAAAAAAAAAACTTAAAAAAAATTATATGTAAAATGTTTATAACAAACCAGTGCGTCGTAATAAACTTTAATGGTTCATTTGTAAATTGTCTACACGAGCATACATCCATCCATATGTACGAGCTGATAACAAGATTGATCAATAATTTTTTTCATTTTTATGTGAAGTACGAAGAGTTACAGGGGCATACAAATGATATGCAACAGTGTGTAGAGAATTAGATTTTCTTTTTTATACTTTTTCAAATGCTATTATGGATTTGAATCTGTAATTTGGTTTAAAAATAAATATTTCTAAGTTAACGGCAACTTTTATTTGAATTGAGGCAAAAGTTTTGAAAGTTAGAACAGAACAAGAACTGGATAAATCAGAACAAGAGGACAACTAGAACATAATAGAAGTAGAAGAGAACTAGAACATAATAGCACTAGAACATAACAGAACTATACTACAGAACTAAAACAGAACTAGATCAGAACTAGAAGAGAACTAGAACATAGCAGAACTATAACAAATCTATAACAGAACTAGAACAGAACAGGAACAAAACTAGATCAAAACTAGAACAAAACTAGAACAGCACTAGAACAGAACTAGAACAGATCTAGAACAGAACTAGAACAGAACTAGAACAGAACTAGAACAGAACTAGAACAGAACTAGAACAGAACTAGAACAGAACTAGAACAGAACTAGAAAGAACTAGAACAGAACTAGAACAGAACTAACAGAACTAGAACAGAACTAGAACAGAACTAGAACAGAACTAGAACAGAACTAGAACAGAACTAGAACAGAACTAGAACAGAACTAGAACAGAACTAGAACAGAACTAGAACAGAACTAGAACAGAACTAGAACAGAACTAGAACAGAACTAGAACAGAACTAGAACAGAACTAGAACAGAACTAGAACAGAACTAGAACAGAACTAGAACAGTACTAGAACAGAACTAGAACAGAACTTAAACAGAATTAGAACAGAACTAGAACAGAACTAGAACAGAACTAGAACAGAACTAGAACAGAACTAGAACAGAACTAGAACAGAACTAGAACAGAACTAGAACAGAACTAGAACAGAACTAGAACAGAACTAGAACAGAACTAGAACAGAACTAGAACAGAACTAGAACAGAACTAGAACAGAACTAGAACAGAACTAGAACAGAACTAGAACAGAACTAGAACAGAACTAGAACAGAACTAGAACAGAACTAGAACAGAACTAGAACAGAACTAGAACAGAACTAGAACAGAACTAGAACAGAACTAGAACAGAACTAGAACAGAACTAGAACAGAACTAGAACAGAACTAGAACAGAACTAGAACACAGAACTAGAACAGAACTAGAACAGAACTAGAACAGAACTAGAACAGAACTAGAACAGAACTAGAACAGAACTAGAACAGAACTAGAACAGAACTAGAACAGAACTAGAGCAGAACTAGAGCAGAAATAGAACAGAACTAGAACAGAACTAGAACAGAACTAGAACAGAACTAGAACAGAACTAGAACAGAACTAGAACAGAACTAGAACAGAACTAGAACAGAACTAGAACAGAACTAGAAACAGAACTAGAACAGAACTAGAACAGAACTAGAACAGAACTAGAACAGAACTAGAACAGAACTAGAACAGAACTAGAACAGAACTAGAACAGAACTAGAACAGAACTAGAACAGAACTAGATCAGAACTAGAACAGAACTAGAACAGAACTAGAACAGAACTAGAACAGAACTAGAACAGAACTAGAACAGAACTAGAACAGAACTAGAACAGAACTAGAACAGAACTAGAACAGAACTAGAACAGAACTAGAACAGAACTAGAACAGAACTAGAACAGAACTAGAACAGAACTAGAACAGAACTAGAACAGAACTAGAACTAGAACAACTAGAACAGAACTAGAACAGAACTAGAACAGAACTAGAACAGAACTAGAACAGAACTAGAACAGAACTAGAACAGAACTAGAACAGAACTAGAAGAACAGAACTAGAACAGAACTAGAACAGAACTAGAACAGAACTAGAATAGAACAGAACTAGAACAGAACTAGAACAGAACTAGAACAGAACTAGAACAGAACTAGAACCAGAACTAGACAGAACTAGAACAGAACTAGAACAGAACTAGAACAGAACTAGAACAGAACTAGAACAGAACTAAACAGAACTAGAACAGAACTAGAACAGAACTAGAACAGAACTAGAACAGAACTAGAACAGAACTAGAACAGAACTAGAACAGAACTAGAACAGAACTAGAACAGAACTAGAACAGAACTAGAACAGAACTAGAACAGAACTAGAACAGAACTAGAACAGAACTAGAACAGAACTAGAACAGACTAGAACAGAACTAGAACAGAACTAGAACAGAACTAGAACAGAACTAGAACAGAACTAGAACAGAACTAGAACAGAACTAGAACAGAACTAGAACAGAACTAGAATAGAACTAGAACAGATCTAGAACAGAGCTAGAACAATAACGAAATAGAAAATACCCGAAAGGGAAAGTAGCAGAATTGAACTAAAAGGGCCTCTTATTACATTGCTAAGAGTTGATAACTTAAAGAAGAAAGTATTTGTTATTTTTAACAAAATTTGTGATAAAAAATATAAAAATATTTACGTTGTAATCAATACCTTTGTAAAATACTCCCTTTTTCAATGAGTATTTACATTTATATTTTTATTACCTAGTCGTAGAACTTGACTAGATAACCTCAATAATATTTAAAGATAATTTTTTCTTTAGAGGTGAAGTTTTTTTGGTTTCGTTTTATTTTCATAAATAAATTAATGAACTTTAGTTTACCCCCAACAGCTAATGATATTTAACACTCCAAAAAAAGCACGCCTCTATAAGTATTTAGTAGCAGGAGAAGAACTGGAAGTAGTTTCAGTCAACCATACTATAATATTTTTTTCAACTTTATAGTGGCAAACAGTAGTGTCAAATCATAGAAAACAATAAAGGGCACGATTTTAAGAATTAATAAAGAAAGAAATTTGTTTTGAAGTAATAAAATTGGAGATAAACTGATATCGGTTGATAGGGGCTATGAGTTAGTTGGTTAACTGTAAAAAACAGTAAGTGTTTACCTCCAATGAAAGAAACTTCAAAAACTTAAATATATTGAAAGATAAATACAATAAATCTAAAAGTTTAATTGGTGCAAACTACTGTCTTAGTTTTTGTTAAGGATAACTAAAATGCCAAAAAAAAAAATGTATGTGAAAAAATCACTAAAATAACTTAGTAATATTTAATTTTTTTAAATATTTTCTGTTCTAAATATTTCTCTCTACTTTTATTTACTTTGTAAATGCATTCACTCCAGATTCAATTAATTATTACAGCACGTTTCTTGATCTCTTTTCTACATCTAAAGCGAGAAAATAATGGAATAAAATATTTTTTATTTTTTTATATTTTTTCCCATTTAAAAACTCATAATAAGTATTTCAATACGTTTGTTGTATTTAATGAAAAATAATTAGTATTCTCAAGAGTTTATTACTAATTGAGAAAAGCTCATAGATTAATGAGTTATATTAAGTTCATTAATTTGTTGCGGAATCTTTTGCTAAATTTAAAAGTTTTTTTTATTTAACTTTGAGTCTAGAATATTAATTAAAAGGGGAAAAATAATGTGCATGAAGATTTCTTTTCATATTTTGTGAGTTTAGTTTGTTGCAAATGAAGCAGGCGACAGGTTGCGTTTATGTATGTGAAATTTTTGAAAACTTCTTAGATTTAATTATTAATCATCCGATTTGTTTATCAATTTATAATAAACAAAATTATGGTTGTCAAATTAGAATAAAGAATAGAACTGAAATAGAATAAGAAATAAACTTGAAAGGAACTTGAAGTAAAATTAAAGTGAAATATTAGTGAACTAGCAGTAAACTAGTACTGGACAAGAGCTGAACTAGAACTAAATTAGAACTGAACTAGAACTAAATTAGAACTGAACTAGAAGTGAACTAGAACTGAACTAGAACTGAACTAGAACTAGAACTAGAACTGAACTGAACTAGAACTGAACTAGAATTGAACTAGAACTGAACTAGAACTGAACTAGAACTGAACTAGAACTGAATTAGAACTGAACTAGATCTGAACTAGAACTGAACTAGAACTGAACTAGAACTGAACTAGAACTGAACTAGAAACTGAACTAGAACTGAACTAGAACTGAACTAGAACTGAACTAGAACTGAACTAGAACTGAACTAGAACTGAAGTAGAACTCAACTAGAATTGAACTAGAATTGAACTAGAATTGAACAAGAACTGAACTAAAACTCAACTAGAACTCAACTAGAACTGAACTAGAACTGAACTAGAACTGAACTAGAACTGAACTAGAACTGAACTAGAACTAGAACTGAAGTAGAACTGAACTAGAACTGAACTAGAACTGAACTAGAACTGAACTAGAACTGAACTAGAACTAGAACTGAACTAGAACTGAACTAGAACTGAACTAGAACTGAACTAGAACTGAACTAG